GCTTTGGGACAGATGAACTTTTTGGGGGGGTCTTTTTTGCTCCCCTCGCTCCTCAACCCCGCGGGACCTCCCCCATCCGCCATGGGGAGCCCCCTTCCAGCGGTTGGTTCCGGGTTTGAGGAGAGGAAACTCGGGGGACTGGAACCCCCACAGGGCTTGGAGGGGCCCCCCCAGTGCGGGACAAGCGGGGTGCGGGGGGGGTGGGGTTCGTGGCTGGGGGCAGGTTGAGAGCCAGCACCCTCCTGCTCCGGGTGCGGGTAACTCTGGGTGGGAATTGTCTTTGACACCCCCCCCCCCCGGCTCCATCCTCCCGCTGCTCGGGGGGGGGCATTTCCACCGTGACGTGTCCCAGCGCACCCCCGGGCCGGGGCTGCCCTCGCCTGCCCCCCTTTCGTTCCCCTCCCTCCCCACACCTGAGGGCAGGAGCGGGAGCTGCCAGTGCTGGGCTCCAACGTCTGCTCCTGCGCCTGCCACGATAAAAATAACTTCAATCCCAAACCTGCCTGAAACCCGCGTGAACAAAGTCCCACTTCCCCATTGGCTCCCGGCAATGCTGAGGGGGGGACACCCGCGCTGTGCCCCCCACCATGCATTGTGTCCGCAGCATCCCACTCCATGCCTTGTGCCACCAGTGACCCCCTTTGCTCTGGGAGAAGGCAAAGGCTTCTATCAGTGGGCATGGCCCTACTGGCTGGGGTGGGGGGCGCCTGGACCTGGACCTGTGCACCCCAAAGGAGTGGTGTGGTGGGAAACTCACTGCATGGAGGGGATGGGGGGAAGCGAGAACAAGGTTGGGATGGTCCCAGTGTGGCAAAAGACCCCTTGGGACAGGGTGCGAGCCCTGGGCGGGGGGGATCATGTCCAGGGTGGGGATGGACCTCAGCTGACTCCAGGATGGTGCCAGCACAGGCGTGGGATGCAGCGAGGTGCAGGCAGGGCCCGGGCACAGCTCCCCACTGCAGCCTCCCTGTGGCAGCGCTGTAAATTAATGATGAGCACAAGGCAGGGCACCTCAGAGCACCCAAGTGACTCATGGCTGGGGCAATGGGGTGAGCCCTGCGTGGCCCTGGGTGCTGTGGGGTGCATGGTACTCCCTCTGTAGAGGTGCTCCAGATGCACCTTCATCCTGGGATGAGTTTCATGGGGTTGATGCTGTGAGAGGTGTCCTCATCCCTCCTGCTGCACCCTAAGGAGTCCTCCTTCATGGAGCAGAGGGTCCAGCCCCATCCCGGCTGAGGGGAGACGGGTGCTGGCCCTGCCTCACCCCTTCCCCTGGCCTTGGCAGGAGGGTGCAGCGAGCTGGAGCTCTGTGAGACCTGCACGGGCAGCCCCAGCTCACACAACAGCACCGGCTGCGTCTGGGTGCGCTGTGAGACCCCCGAGGAGCCAGGTGAGGGGCTTGGGTTGGGGCTGGGGCACTGAGGGGCTCCCCCAGCCCCTGCTGCTGGGCTGGGCCGCGCTGCTTCCCATGGTCAATGTTCATCTCCTCTGACCCATCCTGTGGGAGCAGGGGATCCAGCGGCTATGCTGGGCTTGGGACAGCTCTGGGAACCCTCCCTGGAGATGCGAGTGGAGCAGCACCAAGTGATGGAGATGGGGGAAAAGAGCTGTTTACAAAGCCGTTCTATGGGGCTTTTCCCTATGGGAGGTGACTCCCAGATGGGTGCCCACCCCTGGGAATGTGCTCTCCTCATCCCAAACCCTCACTGGGGGGGTCCTTAGGAAAACCCTGCTCCTCTTCCCGCAGAGAAGGGGAGCTGCGTGCGGAGAGGGGGGGCCGCAAGGGAAACCTGTGTGCTCTACAACACCAGCACCCAGTGCCGAGGTAACCCCAGCAGCACCCCCAGACCCAGCAGCACCCTGCTGCTGGGGGTGCCAGGGCTGTGGGGATGAGATCCCACCCCTGGCACAAGGAAATGGGATGTAGCGATACCCCGTGACATCCTTTTCCCTCTGCTCCATCCTCCGGCAGCGCTGAAGTCCCATACTGAAGAGCCTCCACGGTCCCATGGCAAGGAGCCAACAACGACACAGGCACCGAGTGAGTGGGTCTGGGGTGCTGGGCTGGGCTGGGGGGTCCGGGTGCCCCAGGGGACAGTGGGATGGGACAAGCTGCTTCCCTCCATGTGTGAGCAGAGCCACCCTTGGAGCTGCATCCACGGAGCTTCAAGGTACCAGCACTGCCCCCATGTCACAGCACTGTCCCTGCGCCCCCCTCTGCCCTAAGCAATGCTGCAGCGATGGCAGGATGCGGCCAGGGGTGTCATACCCTGCAGCCCACCAGGAACCAGCCCTGCTGGGAAGACACACGTCTGGAGCAGGGGCTGGGCATGGAGCAGGAGCCTCTTCCAGGAAATGGGAACTGGAGAGCACTGGGCTCATTACAGCCGGTAACCGAAGCCCGGAGCCCTCTGAATTATTGATCCCACCGGGCTCCTTTTGCCGCTGGCTCCTCTCCCGTGTGCTGCTCCAGCATTGGAAGGGGCTGAGCCTGTCCCTGCGCCCACGTGCTGGGACCATCCCTCCCCATGGAGCCTCTGGGGTCCAGGTGGACCCCGAATCCCCTCTCCTTGGCAGGAGCATGGGTACCCATGGATGCCAACAGCACCCATAACCCCCCGTCCCTGATGTCCATTAGGGACCACCAGCACCAGTGCCCCATTGACGGGCAGCCCCGAGTTCCACCCTCCTGGCTTCGACACGGCTAGCTTCATCGGTGGCATCGTGCTGGTGCTCAGCATCCAGGCTGTGGTCTTCTTCATCATTAAGTTCATCAAGTCCAAGGACAGCACCTACCAAACGCTGTAAGGCCCTCGGGGATGGAGGGGGGATCCCACATGGCCCAAAGTGGGGGTCAGCTGGAGGGGGGCTCTGTGGCCGTGTCCTCAGTGGTGTCTCCTGTGGCTGTTTGTGTCCATCCCCATTGTGTTGGGGGGGGGGGGGGATTTTGGGGGTGGAGGGGCTCCATCCTCCCTTGCCTGTCCCCTCCATGGTGTCCTCAGTTTGTTGCTGCCTGGCCACATCCTGCCTCTGAGCCCCATAGGGAGTGCGGGGACCCTGGCTGAGCCAAGGTGGGGGGTTCACGCCTGTGCCATGGGGCTCACTGTGTCTAACAGTGGGGGGGCCGTGCCCCATCTCTCTTTCCTTGCACGCTGCCAGAGAGGACAACCAGTAGGTCCTGGGTGCTGGTGGCAATGGGGACCTGTACCCGCAGAGCTTCACCCTTCCCTCACCCCTACCTGCGGGGAAGCCGGGGGGTGTCGTGGTCCCTCTCCTGGTGTGCATGGGGGGTGTTTCCCAACTCGTTTGCTGTTTTCCTGGGAGTTGTTAGTGCAGGAAGGAAAAGGGGGTCCCCCCCTTGTCCCCCCCATATGGAGCGCCTGGATGGAGCCAATGCCCAGACCCTTGGCACATCTGTGTCCCCTCCCCACTCTGGGCATCCCCTGCCCCATTGCCTCCCCTCAGCCATGGGGCTCACCCCAGAGGGGTCTTGCTGTGTGCTTTTGCTGTGCCTCTATCTTGCTGTGGGGTGTTTGGGGGGTCCCCCCGTGTCTGTGTGCTGTCTGGGGGGGTGCGTGCTGTGTGCTGTGGGGTGACACCTGTAGCTAGGGCTGCCCCAATTAAACTCTGTGAGGTGGCGTCTGTCTCATGTCCGGGGGGTGTAGCCGGGGGGGGTACAGTAAGTGCCCCCATCCCTCCTCTTCGGTGCAGGACCAGCCCTTCCCCATGGCTTTGCCACCGCACTTTGGTACCCTCCCTTCATCCCACTCCCTGGGGGGGCTGCAAAGGGATGGACCCTGGCCCCGCATCCCCCCCCCCCGGCAAATCCACCCGGGCCCTTTCTGCTGCCTGCTCTTTGTCCACTGCACCAGGATCTGAGGCCATCGGGCTGAGGAGGTGCTGCCCTCGTCCTCCATGGGGCAGGCAGAGAAGAGGCCGGTGCATTGCTGCCTGCATCCCTGCCTGCTGCCTGCATCCCTGCTGCTGCAGGACTGTCCCCGTCCACAGGCACAGGGCTCCACAGGGCTCCACATCACAACTATGCAACTGGCTCTGCCCTGGGAGGCACCAGGGTGGGACTTGTCACCCAGTGGGTGCTCCAGGCTTGTCGGTAGGGGGGTGCAGCCAGGCACAGGGGCTCCATCCAGCCCTAAATCCAAGCCCTGGGGGCATCAGAGGGCGTACGGCCATGGCTGGCAGCAGGGGGACTCTGGCACAGAGGGGACAGAGACCCAATAAAGGATTTCCCTCCTATTCCTGGTGTCCGTGTCCTTGTCACCCATTGTCACCCCCAGAGCCCGAGCAGCGGGTGCCAAACCTGTACCTGCACTGGGGACATTGGAGGGTGCCTCCTCTGCATGTGCTGCCCCAGCGTGTCCCCTGCACGTCACCATGGACCGAGTCCTTCCCTTCAGGACCACGGGTCACAGCCCCATGTCCAGCTCCTGTGCTCCCCGCTGGTCCCACCGCCCACTTCCATCCCTGTCCCCGTCCCCTGGGACCCTTCCCAGGGCTCACCATGCCCAGGGGGATGCAGTGGGGGTACGGGGGTGCTGCCCGGCCCTTCACCCCGCCCAGAAGCTGGGACATGCCCCGGGTGCCACCGCTTCCCCTTCCCCTCGCTCCTGTTTCACAACCGGCCCTTTGCCACCCGTGCCGTTGGGGCGCAGGATGCGGTGAGGCCGGACCCAGGCCCGGCCGTGGGGAAGCGGAGCCCGATGGAAGGGACGGAGCCTCCCGGTGCGAACCGGCCCCGGTGGGAAGCAATCCGGGAGGGAACGGGGCAGCCCGGTGCGGGGTCTCCCCACAAGGAACGGGGCAGCTCAGCGCAGGACACCGCCTCTCCCGGTGCTCAGCACCATTCCGTGGGGAACACACGGGGCAGTGGTGGAGGGGACAGCCCCGCAGCGGCAGCAGTGGGGCGCGGACGAGGTGTCTCCAGCCCCACGCTGGAGGGAGAAGTGAGGGTCCGGTTCGCACTGCAATAAAGAGCCACCACATGAGCCCTCCGGTGCCACTTCATTGCTGCTATGGGGCACAGAGCCCAGCCCCGCAGTGATGCTCTGGGCTCAGCTCTGCCCCCCACCGTGGGGCCGGAGGCTATGCCCTCGGGACAAGGTTGGTCCGGAGGGGTAGGAGAGCTTCGACCCATTGCCCGGGCTGCTGCAGCAGACGGCCCCACACCCCCCGCTCCTCCGCTGTGGAGTCCATCCAGCCCACGGGTAGCCCATAGCTGCTCCCTATGGAGAGATCACCGTGTCACCCCCTGTCACAGCACGGCGGGCACCCACAGCTATTCCCTGCTCACCGGTGCCCAGGCTGAGCCGGATGCCACCAAGCTGGCGCTTGGCAAAGGCTTCATGGTGCCAAAGGGTGAACTCGGCGCACGCCTCGGCCAGGTCCTTGGCTTGGAAGCCATCGTACACCATGGTGTGGTTAAAGAGCGGGTTGAGGCTCCGCTTCACCACCCGCGTCTTCTGCCGGCTCGCCTTGGAGTCATCTGGCAGCACATAGCTGGGGTGACAGCAGGGTGAGGGACACACACACCCCACCAGCACCTAGAGGTGCCCCTCAAGGGCGCCTTCATCCCCTTACCACTGCACAAAGGCATCCACGGTGCCGCCCTGCAGGGGGACGAGGCTCTGAGCATCCTTCACCCAGATGTGCAGCTCACCTGTGGGTGGCAGCCCCCTGCCTACGGGCGAGAGGGGTCAGGGATCCCCCGCCGGTCCTGACTGCCCCAAGCACCCATGGGCACCTCTCACCTTCCAAGCCGGCAGGGATGAACTTCAGTGCCAAGTTGAGGCTGCCCCGGCTGGCGAGGCCATCCGAGGAGACGGGCGTCTGGGGAGGATGGGGCTGTTATGGGGCGCTGCGGATGGGGGTGCTGGGCTGGGTCTGGGGGTGGGGGTGCTGGGCTGAGGGTCTGGGGGCTCACCCGTGGCTGGAGACTGAACCACTCAGGGCCGGTGTTGTCCCAGTCCCAGGTGCCCAAAGCGATTTCCACCTCTCCCAGGAAGAGGTTCCTGCCCAGGCTGTCGTGGTGCCACACCGAGAGGTTCAGGGTCCGGCCCTGCAGGTCCCTCTTCTCCAGCTTGTACTGGTGCGGGGGCACACAGGCAGGGTGAGGTCACCCCCTGCAGCCATGCACCCCCCCCGGAACCAGGGACACCCCAAACCTTGAGGGTCTCATTGAAGATGGGGTCCAAGCTCCTCTTGCGCACCGTGGTCTTGCGCTTGCTGCGGTTGGACTTGTCCGGCAGCAGGTACGTCTTGATGTACCTGGAGCCAAGGGACGAGGTGAGGATGCACCAGGTCCCCCCCGCGGGCATCCCTGCTGGGGGCTGCTGCAGCACTCACGGGTCCGACCGCTGCTTCTTGGCCTCGGCCAGCTCCCGGCACCGCAGCACATGGACCTGCAGCTCCGTCCTGGCCGGGTCGTAGCGCAGGGAGAACTGGACACAGCCCCTCACGGGCACCCTGCCCAGCTCACCCTCGCTGTACAGGCTCATCAGGCTGCTGCTGAGCTGCGGGGGACAGGGCGAGGGGGCTGGAGAGGTGACTCCCCCCATACCCATACCCATACCCATACCTATACCTATACCCATACACATGCATATACCCATACTCACACCCATACCCACACCCATGCACATACCCATACCCATACACATGCACATACGCATGCACATACCCATACGCATGCACATATGCATGCACATACCCATGCACATACCCATACCCATACACATGCACATGCACATACACATATGCATGCACATACACATACGCATGCACATACACATGCACATACACATGCACATGCACATACACATACCCATACCCATACCCATGCACATGCACATGCACACACCCATACCCATACCCATACAGACACACCACCCCTCCAGCCCCATACCGTCGAGGAGCTGAGGCTGGACACGGAAGAGCTGGTGCTCAGGAGGCTGCTTCGGGGTGCGTGGCCGTTCTGTGGGGACACCGCCAGGGGGGTCCCCAGCCCCTGGCAATGCAAAGCAAAGAGGGGTGAGGGCCCCCCCCTGCAGCCCATCCTCAGTCTGGGCTCCTGAAGGCACCCAGCACCCGTGCCATCCTCACTTTGCACCCCCAGACAGTCTCCTCAGCCCCATAGAGACCTATATAGTCCCATAGACACCCAGCCCAAGTCCCACCATCCCACCTCCCCAGCATCAAGGCCACAGCGTGCAGAGTGGGGCTCCTCCTCGTCTTCCTCTGTGCTGGATGTGCCCAAGGGTCTCCCATTGACTGTGTCACCTGCAAGGGAATGGGGTGGATTGGAGCTCCCCCATGGATAGGAGAGGGGGTCTCCTCTTTTGGCAAGAGGAAGTGATGGTGTGGGGCTGGGAGGGGCTGCCCCCATCACAGGTACCTGGCTGGGCTGGGATGTGCTGCTCCCGCAGGGGGCTGTCTCCCTGCTGCAGCAACCCTGGGGTCCCCTCCAGAGCTGGGGCTGTGGGGCTGGGCTGCGGGATGGCACAGACATGGTGACAATGGGCACACCTCTCCCCACCTTGCTCCCCTCTGGGTCTCTGAGGACATCACATGAGGGACATCCCATGGGACACCCCAAAGGCAGCTCCCTCCTGAGTGACGCTGCAGCCCCAGGGCTATGGCACCAGGCTGACCCAGGCACTGACCGAGCCCATCACCAGGGCATCAGATACCCCCTGCCCCCCAGCCACCAACCTGGGGCGCTGCTGCTGCCTGCACCTCTGTAAGGGGCCTGTGAGGAAAGGCCATCATTAGCGTCTCTCATTAAGGCATGAGGCTAAAGAGCTCCCCCCCCATCCCCACCTCCCCAAAGACACCCCCCTCACGTGGAGGGCAGACAGACACCAGGACAGCGGACAGACACCAGAGCCACCCCCTTCACTGTGGGCTCTGCTCCTACCTCCAGACCCCCCCAGGCACCCCACGGTACCCATAGGAGCTCCCACTCTCACCTCTCCTCCGGCTCCCTCCTGCTATCATCATCCTCCTTCTCCTCCCCCAGCGGCTCAACAATGGCCTCCAGGCTGGGGCCGTGCTCCGGTTCCCCTGCTCCAGGTGACATCGGGGACCTCAGAGGGATGGACACGGCCCCAGTGTTCCCCCATCCTGTCCCATCCTACCCCACCTCATCCCATCCCACCCCATCCCATCCCATCCCATCTCATCCCATCCCACCCCATCCCATCCCACCCTATCCCATCCCATCTCATCCCATCCCACTCCATCTCACCCATCTCATCCCATTCAGCCCCATCCCATCCCATCTCATCCCATACCACCCAATCCCATCCCATCCCATCCCATCCCATCCCATCCCACCCTATCTCATCCCATCTCACCCCATCCCATCCCGCCCCATCCCGTCCCATCCCATCCCGCCCCATCCCATCCTATCCCACTCCATCTCACCCATCCCACCCCATCCCATCCCATCTCATCCCATCCCACCTCATCTCATCCCATCACACTCTATCTCACCCATCCATCTCATCCTATCCATCCCATCGCGTCCATCCCATCCCATCCATCCCGTCCCATCCCTTCCATCTCATCCCATCCATCCCATCCCATCCCACCCCATCTCATCCCATCCCATCTCACCCCATCCCATCCCATCCCATCCCATCCCATCCCATCCCATCCCACCCAATCCCATCCCATCTCATCCCATCCCAACCATCACTGACCTTG